AAATGGAGTTGGCATTTCATCGATTAGTCTATTTTGAGGAGGTAATACCCTATTTCTGTTTATTGTGATTGCTATATTTAACCTTAGCATGAACTCACACGTGCCATGTGACACATTCATTCATTGCTTGGTGGTGTGCAGGAAACACCAGCCAGGCAGTGATATGGGCCCCTTGGGGAAATTCTGTGGCCTCTCTGAAAATGCAAAGCATGTGAAACAGCAACACAACAATTACTCCCTGCTCTGAACTCCCATAGAGGCCCTGGAAGTCTTCTGGTCCCCTCTGAGAGTAACACAGAGAGGATTTCGTGCTTCCTTGGTAGCTCCTCAGTCCGGTTCCGAATCAATTCTTGTTCAAAACCCAAAAGCAGAAGCCCAACAACAAATATTGAGTGTATACCCAGTTGTTTCCCTGTTGCTGCCAATGAGGCCTCTCTGGTTGCTTCCTTTGGAAGGATCAATACTTGAAACCTGGAAACAAATTATGTAGCAAAATACATGTACCTGTTGTGGTTGGGCAGCTAATAATGGCATGATAGTGGAGCCACAGCTTCACAGCTCACAGAATCGAGTAGGCTGGAAAAGACCTGAGATCATCAAGCCCACACAATTTTTACAGTGGTTAATACTTTATAAATTCATCATTTGAGTTGGGAGAATAGTCTTGAGCACCAGCACGTCACGATACGGTTTGGTGGGAACAGTGGTGTTTGTTCAAAGGTTGGACTTGATTCTCTTGGTGATCTTTTCCAACCTTAATAATTCTGTGATTGCAAAAATGAGTCAAAGGTGACTTGAGAAAAACCCTCACTTATTTCTCTGTATTGGTAAGTGGCTGTTCAGTTTGACTCTGAGGAATGTATTCTCTCCACCCTTTGGGTTTGCACCTTAATTTGTCTTGCTGAACACGTGAATACTGTGATTGAGTAGAGATATTCATGTCTATTGGAAAGGCTCATCTAACCTGTTGTTTTTCTTCCAAAGGGGGGAGTATACAAATGACTTTTAAAAAAAAAAAAATCTGTTGACCATTTTTAATAATTCCCAAATGCATATGACTTTTGTCTTGATATTTTTCCTTGGAATGCTTGTGGTTATGGAGCTCTTCAGAGATATGGCTAAATGATGTGTGGGTAACTGGGGCTCAGCAATGGCTTTTCTTCTTTATGGATCATCTAATAGAGGAGATTGCTTCTATTTCTCTTATTTATCATTGTAATATCTCATTTCTGTCTCATCCTTCCGTGTGAAAGCAACATGAAAGCAACTCAAAACAGTATTTCTGGGCAGATGACTCTAACCCAACAATATATCAACAATAACCTTTGCACATCACATAATTTAGAAAACAGCTGGAAATTTACAGCAGCCTTGTAACTCTAAGTGATGACAACACATATATATTATTAATAACAACCTGTTTTTCTCAGCATTGTGCCTGGACAGAACAGTGTTGAATAGAATGAATTGCCCTCCATTATGTACCATCAATCCTACAAGTCCTGTCGTGCATCTTCCACTTGTTTGCTTTGAGAATGCACTGAGTGCTCCTTCCCACATTCTTCCTTGTTGTCCTGCTGTCCATTTAGCATTTTGTGTTCTCTTAGCACTGCTGGGAGAGTGGAGGGCAGGGAGCAGCCTGGTGGATGCCACATGCCAGCAGAGAGCCAGCAGTTGGTCTGTTTTTGCAACACAAGGCCTGTTTTGTTCTCTCCATCCCTCCCTGGGCTGCAGGGAGAGGGTTTGTCTCCAGCAAGCCCAAAAGACTGAAGCTCACATCCATATTATATATATATATATATGTATATACATTCACAGATTAAAGTCATGCTGTCAAAGCATGAACAGACCTCAATAATTTTCTTTTTAATTTTAGCTGTCAGCCTCGAGATGCCACTTTGCTCTCGAGCTGCTCTGCACAGCCTGTGCCAGCTCCCTTCGACTGGGATCATGTTAAAATGTAAAGCAACACATTTCCTGGCAGTCTCTGCAAAGCAGTGCAATATAACCTTCATTACATGAAGGTGGTGAACGTAATGTGACTTCTTAACAGCTGCAATAAAGTGATGTGAAGCTCTTTAACATCTTTTCAAAACAAGTAACTAGTGAGAGGTTATTTTTCATCTCTATTGCTAAAAAAAATGACATGTTATTTTAAGCAGATGACATTTTGTTTGCACTTATCTGAACTAAGTAAATCTTTACATGAAACCTCCAGATCTGTGTTGCTTTGTGAAGTAAAGAAAACTTTAAAAACTAGTACTAAAATACACTCTAGTGGCTGGATTTCAACATGAAAATTTGGATGTTAAATTTTATGTATGGAGATGACAGCTGCTAACAAGGGATTTCAGTTCACCCTTGTTCTTTTCCCTTTAGATTTATGAGTCCATGAGAGCTGCCTATTCCATTGTTTATTTTTATGTCAAACTATTTGGTTCTCATTTGAGTATTCTCTGAAGATCAGAGAGGGCTGATGCATTCGGATCACTTACTGAGGAACCAAGTTCTTTGGAGATAAATAAACCATTACAAATGGGAAATAAGAGGAAAAGAGTTTATACAGTCTGTGTTCAGGTGCCCACATTAGTCAGTCTATTATTAGGCTGAACAGAAGTTCAGCTTTAAGAGCTCAGTAGTGAACATTGATAATCAAAGCCTTAGGAAGTGACTGGGTTTGAGGTGCACCCAAAGTCTGAAAGGACAAATCTCTCTGGTTTACTTATTTTGGCAGCTGAATTGTGATTTCACTGCAGTGTGATGAGCATCATTTCCAAGGAAGTTAACAGCTAAAGTTCAGAGCCACGGAATGAGGCCGTGGAAAACAGTGGCACTGTTCTTCCTACGTATTTATCTTGATACTTATATGGAATTTAAAACAAGGTCGACATTGTCTCTGGTTGAATGAGTTCCTTATCGTGCAGTGAGATGTTGCCAGCTCAGAGATAAGATGTGACTATGATGTTTCATAAATCCTGCCCAAAAGAATTGCCCAAATATGCAGTTTCCATAACATACATTGCTGAATAAAGGCAGACTTGGAGTAGCCACTTGAAGGTCCTAATTTGAACAGCAGGCTCTATTCTACAAGTTTTCTGGATGTTCCCATAGTATTTCTTAGAACTTTTGCATAAATTATCACATTATATTTTGCAACTGTATGATCATTGCATACAAAGTAATTAGTTAACTCCTTTGTTTTCTGAAGGATATACCAAGATGTTTTTTTTTCCTGCATGTGATTTATTCCTGCGAACACAAATCAGTCTTTTGTCTTTGAGAGTGGAAGGTTTGGAACCAAAAATAACATTTGAAAGTAAAACACGTTTCAGCTGCAAGTAATATTAATGGTAATTGCCACTTAGTGATCTTCCAGTTGGTAGAAACAAACCACCAAAATGATAATTGTAGGATTCATTGGGATTTAGATTGATTAACAAACCAGACGACCGAGTGGGCAGCAGACACTGAGCCAGAACTCTGGCTCATGTCAAGTCGGCAGAGCTTATCTGGAATCAGTGGAGCAAAGCCCACTTCATTCCCTTTGCCCAAAGAATAAACATATGCCATGTCAGAAATAGAACAGTTGGAAACAATTGCTGCATGGGATGCTGATGGAAAAGAGCTGGAGAGAGGCAGAAGGGTGATTAGAGTTCTTTAAAGCTGGACGGGCGACTCGGGGATGTGAACGAGGCCGGCCTGGCATTAGGGTGGAATTGTGGTTGGACACTGCAGTGACAGGCAGGGCACTTGAAAGCAGCTTTCTCAGCTCTTCATTAGGTGAAATCAAGTCACAGACATTTTAAGTGGGATAGAGAACTGTTAAAGTTGCCTGGTGAAGTGAGCTCTTCAGAACAATTGAGATGATTTATTATGATTTCCCCTGAATTTGAGGAAATTCCAGGTTTGCAATTGTCAGTTGATTCAAATCTATTTTATTCTTTAGAAGCATCCTTTGAAATAATGTATTTTTATGTGTTGGAAATGCAAAATTCAAAGTATACAGGGAATGGATTATCTGTAAAGAAACTGTGAATTACTTCTGCATCACTTCATTCTGCTCTCCTGACTCACTGCTTGATGCCACAGTGTTTAGTACCAGAGTTTCTCAGTCTCAAATCTCAATTGTTTTGTTTTGTTGAAATGTGGACCAGTTTTGAAATACCTGAACTAAGCTTAACATTAAGAAAGAGCCCATAATGGGGGTGAAAAGCTGAAATACTGACTTCTTAAAGTAAGCACACTCAAGCAAATTGTTCTTTTCATGTGGTTTGGAGGTACCTGTCTGGGACAACCTATAGCCTCAGTCCTATGGCATAGTTAAATTAAAATAAGCTTTTCTTATCTCAGAAAGAAAAAGTTCTTTGAGATCATTCATAAATATTAAATGGCATTCATATTGCAATCAGGAGCTCATTTTCTTTTCCCATTATCTCCTGCCATCCTGTGATATGAGAACACTCTGTTCTCTACAACAGGCTTCACTCAGAGCTTTGGTTCCTCACAGAAATAATTAACTAAAGACATTGGATAGAGACCTTCACCAAGGCATTCAGGTGAACAAATCCTACACCCAAGGATGGGTTTCATTCCAGCTTAACATTCCTGGCTTCTGCCTCCTGCTCTTGCTGAGTGCACATTGACAGTCCCTGTGACAGGGATTTAGATTCAGGAAATGTGGCTTCACAGAATTGTCATCCCACACTATATTCAAACCCTGTGGGCTGCTTTAAACATTAAAAATGTATCATTGTGTAGAGTCTTTTGTTTTTTAATTGTGCATGCTTATCTCCTCTTTAATTATAGTGTTTACTTGGTGTCTTGTATCTTACTTAACACGAGGCTCTGCTTTCTTTCGTTGACTTACAGGTGAAATATTTGACTAGAAGTTTTATTTCTTCAGTAATTATATTTATTAGAAAAGATAAAAAAAAAAACAACACTACCAAACCTGTGCCATTCTAACTGTTGGTTTCCCCTTTTTTTTTTCTTTTCACCAGTTTGCTGTTTTGTGGTTCATAAGAGGTGCCATGAGTTCGTTACCTTCTCTTGTCCTGGGGCTGACAAGGGGCCCGACACTGATGTGAGTACACGCATTTAATACATTGTTTTACACAGTTTGATGTTGTTATACCCACGAGACTAAATGACAAACAGCATCAATATGTTCTTTACGACAGGTAATTGAGTGGGTTTTTTTACGGTTCTGAGGCAAATATTTGTGGAGATCTATTTTTGATAAGAAAAGTAAGAATGAATGTGCGACCAGGAACGGTGTCCTCGGAACGTGACGACCCCGAGGTGTTTACCCAGGCATGAAGTCAGCATTTGATTTTGTTTGCTTTCTGTGGGGTGTATTTGATGTTAACAATTCCCAGGAAAGGCTCTGAGGCATTTTCTGAGCTTTCTTTGTATCCATCTTATCTCAAGGTGTATCTTCTGAGCTGTCTCTGGTCCTTGTCTCTCTGCACACAAGGATCTACAGCTCCAATTAAATGATAGTTTAATCTCGAGCCAGCTGGCTTATCTAAGTTTTTTTTAAGAATTATTGTCATGTTTGAGCCAGTCTGGCAGTCTGGATACACCCATTGCATCCTGCCCTGTCAGTACTTCTCTGTACAAGTTGCATTTTTGGTCAACAACCAAAAACAACACCTTTCAACACCTCTGCCTACATAGGGAGACACGTGTGCAGGACCCTGGTGTCACCCTGCTGCAATAATGAACTCATCCTGTTTGTTCACAGAAAAATAACAATTTCTTTGGGTTTTATAAATTCCACTTTACAGTGAAGTAATTTAACATCTGCTTATGGGAACAATGCATTCCAAGTGTTCTTTGTCTGAAAGGCTCTGTTTTGTTTCTTATATTCATGCTCTAGATTGTAGGCTATTATCTGCTCTGATGAGATGCACCAGAAGACTTGTCTTGTTAGGTTTTAATGAGCTTCTCATGAATTGTTTCAATATTCCAGCCATCAGGGCAGCCAGCAATATATGGGCAGAAGCCACAAGGGGTTTTGGAAAATTTCAGATATTAAAAAGTTCTCTCATTTTTAAATTTAAATACAGGGACGTGTTAAAGGACTGAGAAAAATTTTTAGAAGTTGAATTTTAAAATATTTTACATTATTAAATTTGGGTGCATAAGAAAAGTGCTTAAGTTAAGAGTGTAGTTACCTTGCTCAGGTTCTCCTGTTCCAGTTTTAACTTAGTGCTCAGTCGTGATTTAAGTTGTTAATTAAAGTTGCTGTTGATGAACAGTTTTAGTGGTGACACTCATGGGTAGCTCTGCTGTGTCTCTAATGAATGATTTGGCTCTTGAAAAAGTTCTTGATGATTTTTATTTTTTCAAAATGGGTTCTTCAGCGTTTTCGCCCAAAGTTCAGAAATGAGAACACACATTTGTGTGTGAGACCATTTAATTTTATCGTGAATCTCTTCATGGTTATAGAATCTGTTCTGTGACAGGTTGTTAATAGTCTTTAATATTGCTGGTGCATTTCGTGATTTGGTTTTTGGCCTTGGTGATTAAATAAATCAGTCTAATGCCTTATTTTGTTATTTGGGTTACCAAATGATAATTTTCAATATTTACACAGAAGCAATAGCTGAAAAACACTTTGAAGATTAAAAGCAATCGGAAAATAAATATGTTTTATTGAAATTGTGCTACATTAGTGGGTCCTATTACACAAAGAGGATTGGAGAATGTTATACTTTAATTTACTGAAATGTTTGACTATAATGTCAACCCTTTTAAAATTCAGAAACTTATTCCTACCCCAATCACTGCAAGCTTTGTTCTGAAATGTAGTGTGCTATAAAGCTTATCATAATATTTAGCAGAGTTTTAAATATTAAAACATCCTTTTCTAAATTACTTCATGCAGGTGCACAATTAATTTGTGTACTCAAATTCTCCACTGGCTTTGCATGATGTAACCTTTCCATTTATTGTGAGAGTAATAGTTTCATTAATAAAATTAATTTTCCAGGGTAATAATTATATAATAATATTTATCGTGTATTAAGATATTGTTACATTATTGTGCTCTGTATTTTTAATATAAATGAGGCAATCCTTACAAATACATCATTAGAATAATTGTCAGTTAAATTTATTTAATAATAATAGAATCACAGAATGTTTTGGGTTGGGAGGGGCCTTAAAGATCACCTAATTCCACCCCTACCATGGGCAGGGACACCTCCCACTAGCCCAGGTTACTCCAAGCCCCGTCCAACCTGGCCTTGGACACTTCCAGGGATGGGGCAGCCCCAGCTTCTCTGGGCAACCTGTGCCAGGGCCTCCCCACCCTTTTAGTGAAGAATTCTTTCTCAATATCCAATCTAAACCCACCCTCCTTCAGTTCAAAACCATTCCCCCTCGTCCTGTCCCTCCATTTGTAACAAGGAGAACCTGCAGCCTGTCAGGGAGGTGGTGCCCCACCGTGGGTGACAGTCAAGGTTAGAACACAAAATATTTCCATATACAAAACATTTCCCACTCAGAAGCAAAACTGCCTTCAGCCCTCAGGGGAGGCATTTCTTGCAGGTGAGTGTTCCCAGACATCCCTGCTGAGGCCTGAGGGATCTGGGGCACGAGAGCAAGGATTCATCTCTGGCTTTGTCTTGAGCAAGGTGCCTCAGGGATGGGCAGAGGTTCATTAGTTGTCAGACTCCAAAGGGCAAAACCCCTGTAATTTTTAGGAACTCCCCTCTGATTTCCATGAAAGCTGAATGTGCTCGTGTGGAGGAAGGGTGAGATCAAAGTATATATTTAAAGTAAAGCTCTTCTGAAAGAGAGAATTGAACTGCTTAAAAAAATAAATCATGTGCAGAGAGATTTCTGTCTTGGATTTGGTTTCAAAACTCTTGGTAACATTTTTTGGCTGCAGCAATCCCCTGCAGGAAGTGGAAGCTCCACTGACGGTTCTAGTAAATTTTTAAATATATTTAACAGTTGCAACAAAAATGATTTTTGAATTTCTGAATATTTAAATGCAGTCATTTAGGAAACAGGAGGGATTTCAGACTCTGCTATCCACAGACCTTGTCTTCCTTCCTAGCCCTTTTTACATGCCAAGCATTTCATACACTGACTCCTCAGCTGTAGAAAAGCCCCATGGTCTCTATCATGCCAAAAATGGTGGTGTACAAATACTGTCCCCTTGTGTAACATTTTTACTTCCTACAGCATTCTGTTGTTGTAAAAGAGGGAATAAATTATTTTTATTACCTGAAAACTGCATGCTTTAATAAAGGTGAGCGTAGAAGAGGGAAGCTTAAAATGAACCTCTTTTTGCTTTCCTCAGACTCACCGAAATGTGAGGTTGAAAGGTCCATGTTTGTGCCAAAAGGAAAATAATACTTGTGAATAAAGTGGTCATCCTCGACTAGCATTGAAATGACAGTGTCTGGGGAACAATATCCTGTTTCAGTGAAATAGGAATTCACACAATCAAGAAACGTTACATTTCCTTAATGCTTGGCAGGGCGTGAGCTCCGGTGTCTCAGCAAAACAGCAGCTCAGGAAGTTGTTTTCCTGCTATCTAATGGCTCTCTGGGGTTTGAATAGAAATTGTTCATCTCCTTTTTTGTGGTGATGCTGCTGAGGACAATTTAACAGCTCCTGCTACTGGTGTCCTCCCAAGTCACAGGAAGCATCATCACCAGTTCAGATGCTTCCTTCTGGAAGACACTTGGTGTCCATAAAACTATTTTAAGTCGTCGATGAAATACTTTAGAACTTGAGTAAATTAGTGAAAAAATGTAAGAGCAGCCTCAAAAGTTGACTGATGCTGTAAGAAGCTTTAAGACATGTTTAGTGTTAAGGAATAATTAGGCAAGTTTCTTTCAAAAAGGATGTTTTAAAATGGAGAGTTAAATATTTGTTAATGGAATGCAGTGACCAGGAGGTGTCTTTGAATTGCTTGTAGTATGTTAAAATGTTTCTAATTCCATGCTACATATAATTAAAAAACAGAAGACCACCAGTAATTTAGAATAGTATTTGACTGTATTATACTTTTTTAGTACAAGATTATAAGACTTGGAGTGCCCAAGAACTCAGAGATCGTGGCCTCTGGATCAGCACTATTTGCCTTTCAGGTTTTAATAATAGAGAATCCAAAGGAGGTTTATGAGCAAAATACATAGAAATTAAAAAGTGAAAATATTCTTAATGAGAGCAAGCGAGTGTTCAGTCAAAGGATATGAACTCTGACTGTGCTTAGTGAGTTCTCAGTATTTTAAGGACCTGGGAGGGAATGAATTGGGAAGCTCCAGATGTGTGCTGACGCAAAATGAACCAGCAAAGCCCTCTCATCCCATTTGCAGGGTAAGTGACCTCATGGATGTCAGAGGTGACAGATATGGAAAAGATTTTCAAGTCTATAAGCCTCTTGATACTGAAATTATTTGGGAGCTTTATTATCTTAAGCACATTGGAAGGCTCAGTCTAAATTTGAACAACTGTGAGGTTCTGTGGGATGCTGCAGGAGTTGGGTGTTTTCATCTGTGGGTTGGATATTGGGATGATGCAGCTCTAGAGTACAATATTTCAGGGTTCTTTTCATGTATTAAGCTACAATTTATTAGAACAAATTAAAAAAAAAAAATCACAATTCAGAGGGGAAGAAAACAAATGATGTGAACTGATGGTGAAGGCTCTGGTGCAGGAGAAACTGGAGTAGGTCTTTTAGGGGGTCATAAACTCACTGCTGGCCAGCAGTGCCCCAAACATACAAAGATTAGGGTTTTCCTGAAAGGATATGTTAGAAATTACTATTCTATTTTTCAGTGGGCTGTTTTATGCAGAATTCTGCAGCTCCTCATTCGGAATTTGGAAAAGAACTAAAATGTTAGAGGCCTTTAAAACATGACTTTGAATATTTTCCTTGTCTCTTAAGCTCTAACCAGGTCTTGAACAGGCAGCTTGTGGCAAGGGAGAATTAACTCCATGACAGTGAAGATTTCTAGCTGTATGATGGGGAGCTGCTGCAATGAGTTAGCAAAGGAAGAAATTGGGATTTTTGTGTTGGGGTTTCTCCATGCAGTGCTGCAGATATTGCCTGTGTTC